TCCTCAGCTTTCGGGTGATCCGTTTCGCAACTCGTTGATAAGCAGGGCAATGCAAAACAGGGCAGGACATTAGGCAAGCTGGGTGCGAATTCATTGATGCACATCTCTCTCAGCACTTGGACCGTTCCAAATCCCTGCCCAAAGCTGCCCCATCTTCCCTTCACTCCTAAGCATGGTGATTTCTGCCTAGGAGCTGTGTCATATAACAGCCCTCCTACTCCACCGGCATCCTGTCCAAAGGTTCGAACTCACAGGACAATGGATTCGTGACTCTGGTTCGAAACAAATTTGGGTGGCCTTGCATACTCAGCCTTGTCACTTTTCTGAAAGGGGTGTCAGGTGCAAAATCAAACCCTTGGAGCATGCAACGGTGAAGCAACTATATAGTGTCATGTAGTCTCTGAAGAGTTGCAGGGAACCTGCAAGATGGAAATGATCAAAGTCTAGACCCTACCTTCAGTGCATTTTATGCCAGCCAGTCCTGAATCAAGGTCACCTTGTCCTGGAAAGTGCATCCACCTCGGCTCACCAGCACAATGTGCCCAGCCACACCTGCTTGGTGAGGTAGGCATCCTGCAAGAACTGAATGGGAAAATACCACCATCCAGACAAGTGCTAATTCAAGACTTCAAGACATTCAAACTAAACAGAACATCATAGAACATCAACAAACCGTCAAAGGTAGCAATCCAGCGATGTGTCGAAACCCGTTTCTTGCATAGACATCCTTGCACCCACTTTGCAAATTCTCCCAAATCCTCCACACCATGAGGCAAGTCATGCCCTGTCCTTCCAGGTTGGAGCTTTCGGCCACGGCCAGGGCTGCAGTCACATTTGCCTCAGGCGACTCCGGGTCCAGGAAGTTGGCCTCCCACTGGGCTGGTACGGATGGAGTGAAGTGGAAGGGCAGCCCATCTTGCAGAAGCACTGCACCACCTCAGTTGCTTCAGATTTCTTGACACCCCCGATGCCCAACAATCCAATGCTAGGGATTGCTAGGGAGCCATTTTTTGATGCAAAAAAAACTCTGAGGAAAGTTTGCAACACTTTTGTCCTGAGGAACTGAAAGAGTCCAACTCCAAATGTGGTGCCTGACTACCTTCGCAGCTCATCGCCATGGAAAACTGCTCCCCTTTCTCGGTGGCATTCAACTCCGAGGCCTTGGATTGTGGCTAGGGACATTTCTCCCAGTTTCTTTCTTCCAAAACAGTGCAGGACCCCAGTTTCTTTCAACCAGCATCCAGTTTGAACTTTGAGTCATACTGGTACCCAGGGTACCCGGGTTTCACTGGCCCTCAGTGCCCGCCTCAAATGCAGGAAGTCCAGAGTTGGTGCTGAAACTGGCCGTCCCAGAGAACTGGCCCGTGCTGCTGGGACGGCACGTCACAATCAGATCCATGGACTGCTGGGGCTCCACTAAAACCTGACAGGGGCAAACAAATGACCTGATAAAAACTGAGAATAGCAACTTCCAGGTACTAGTTTCTATCAGTCACTATCAGTACCAATTGCTACCACTCACTACCACTTGCTGCCATTTACTACCACCTAAACAATAGTCCCAAGCGAGTTCCAAGTTCGTCCACGAACTTCATTCAGCCCTCTACTTCATATCCTGTGCATGTGTACAGGTGCTGTGCTTTCTCAGCAGATTAAGTCTTAAGTTAAGCAGTTTGACCCAAAAGTATGGTAGCTACCCCAACCCCAACCACATGGAAAAAGTCCATAGCCATTTGAAGGTGCCTCCACTAAGGGACCGGCGAAAGGAGCAGCCACTGGGCTCAACTTGACCCTGGCAGTTCCATTGCCATAGTTCCAAAGTCGCACAGTTCGACGGCCCTCGCCGCCTAACGGGACCACTCCAAAATCCAGCATGCCCTGAAAGATCGCGGCTGGTAAATATGGAGATCCCAGAATCTCCAGCGTGACTGGAATCACTGCAGCGATGCCACTGATGACCACTTCTGCTTCATATGTACCAACAGCCAGGAAGTCATGGCCGATTTCCAGGCTCGTGGTGACCTCACTCAGAGCATCCACCTGAACGGAGGCAACAGTACCTGTCGCATCCACCAAGCCATTCGGAGGCTGCAGGAGTCGCAACCAGTTCCGAGACTCGGCCTCGAATTCCAGGGAGAAAGTGGAAATGACTGACATTGGATGGGAATTCCATATGAAATGTATTGATATCATCTGCTTAGGCTGCTTCTGTGCCATCCCTATGCCATATTGTGTCCGACATGAAACCTCAGTTGGTGTTTTTGGCAGTTTTGGGCTGCTACTTTCCTTTTTTTGTCGAACCATTTCTGCCTTCAAGACCATGGCATTCACATCCAACATGCCATGGCCAACCCAGCCGTTCAGAAACGCCGGCCGCTCAGCGGATTCCAGGATGATGGCACGTAGGTCTTCGGCATCGCTCACGAAACGTTGCCCCATCCAGCTCCAAAGCAACGCAGCAGCGCCCGCCACATGCGGCGTGGCCATGGAGGTGCCACTCAACGAGGCATAGCTGTTGCCAATGTAGCTACTGATGATGTCGGTGCCTTGCTGAACTGGGATATTGTGGCATACATACATACATATGTGTGTGTATTTGTATATTTATAGCCAAATAAGTATATCATATATATCTATCTATCCATTCATCCAACCATCCATCCATCCATACTTGTTCTTCCAGGGACCTGCTATATAGCTATCCGTTCTGTCCCACTATCCATCGATCCATCGACCCATCCATCTATCATCATCATCATCATCATCATCATCAATTCGTCTTTCTTTAGTCATTCGGATTATGTTGAAATGATGTACATCATTATTTTTATAATCAACTATTATTACTATGTACTTTCCATGAAGACGTTGAAGATGTTGATTGAAACTTGAAACTATGCCAGTGCCATGCATCCCCACCTGGTGCGGCGATCTGCACAGAGTTGACCCCGTAGTTGCTGTAGTCCGCCAATTCTTCCGTGGAGGTCGTGGCAGCAACACAGAGAGCCGCTTCGTAGTTGCAAGGGAACGTGGGAACAAAGTCGTTGCCTTAGCAAAAGCTTAGGTCAATTTAGGTCATCCTTAGGTCATCTTACATCTGAAATCATCTGAATTTGCAACAGAAATCCTGCTGTCAAAAAGCACCACGGTCCAAGGAGTCCAAGGAGTCCAAGGAGTCCAAGGTGCTGCTGCCCATGTTTCCTGCCGCAGCTATGAAGAGATGTCCGCCCTCTTTGGCACTCTGCACCGCAGATTCCAGTGCCAAGCTGTGAGATGCCCCACCTGAGAGGGAGCACTATGTTAAGCCGTTAAGCAAATGCCACAAGTTTTCTGTCAGCAACTAAGCGCCCAACCCCAACTGTTGGAGGAGATCACTGCACCCATGGACACTGCATAGTTCAGCGCAAGCACCGCATCGCTGGTGCGACCTCCCTCACTGGACAGGAAACGAAGTGCCATGATTCGAATGGCTGAACTGCCTCCGAATGCACCAACGATGCCCTTGCCATTCTTCACCGCGCTGATGATTCCCGCACAGTGGGTCCCGTGACCGTCGTCATCTGATGGATTGGCATCTCCATCGGCAAAATCCCAGCCATGCACATCGTCGATATAGCCATTCCCATCATCATCAATCCCTCGGGACGGTGTTACCGATAGCAGGGTCAAAGCAGGCAAACCGAAACACTGTGACAGCTGTGACAGATTAGCTTGTTGTTGTTTTTTCTCAACCTATATATCCTCAAAAACATATACAGCACCGCTGTCACTCTTCTGACTGAATTTTGCAAAGATGCCATTTCCTGGAATCTCTCCAGGGTTCTGCCAAAGCCTACCTTGCAAGTCTTCATGATCCAACTGCACGCCTGTATCCAACACAGCAACCGTCACCGGGTCGGCTTCAAAGTTATAGGTCTCCAAACGAGACCACGCGTTCTCGAAACCACTCCGCCTCATGCCCCATTGACGACTCCAGTGTGTATCTGCGATGTCCTCCATCTTAAAAAGGTTTCTCTTGTCAGCCTCCACGAATTCTAGGTCACCTACAGGGAGCGGGCAGGTGTCAATTGGACAAAACCAAATGGGAAAAGAGGGAACTTCACACACTGCATGTGATTCCTGGCTTCTCATAGCACCTGCATGTTCGCTCCGAAGTTGCTTGGCAACCTCTTCTGCATCCGCAGCGCAATCCAGCTGTGCAATGCTCAGCCCCAAATGGCTAAGGTATAGCCAAGTGCTATTCTCCAGTCCTGCCCCATCAGTTCTGTTGCGACTGAGCAAACTCAACACAGGGGAACGCGAAGGCTACACCCATGCTTCACTGGTCCAAGTTCTACTCGCGCAATGATTTATATAGAACGTCTATAACTCATACACATGCAAAAACGGCCAAAAACAGCTAAATCCCCTTGAGACCTTACTCCCAATCAAAACATCATGACCATTTGGACCATTTGGACCGTTTCTTACGCAGCAGAAGCAAGTTGGCCAAGCACCTGGGAGCTGCGCCAATCGCCGCAGCCGCCGAGTTGCACGAATGCTCTGACTCACGCGGGGTCGCAGCAGGAGCAGTGGCTGGCTGCAGTTCTCCTCACAACGGGTCCACTGGGCTCAAAACTTGGTTGGTTGCGAAGATAAGGAGGATCAAATTTATCAAACCTATAGAAATGGAATGACATGAAATGGTCACAACCTGTCTGGAAATTAAGCCCTGGACGCATTACATGCCAAGCTATTTCGAAGTATCTCAGAAGCTGAGTTGGGCACTGCTTTCGCTTGAAGGCGCCTCCCAGCACCAAGCGTTGCCTCCAAAAATGATGGCAAAAGAACTTAAGTTTCTTCCTATCCACACGATGTTGATGTTGATGTTGATGTTGATGTTGTTGTTGTTGTTGTTGTTGTTGTTGTTGCTGTTGTTGTTGTTGTTGGTTGTTGGTTGTTGGTTGTTGGCTGTTGGCTGTTGGTTGTTGGTTGTTGGTTGTTGGTTGTTGGTTGTTGGTTGTTGGTTGGTGTTTTTTGTTGTTGTTGTTGTAGTTGTAGTTGTTGTTGTAGAGGTGTTGAATTCCTTGCAAGGGAAAGGCAGTTCTACACTCAACCTGTGCTGCATTCTCATGCAAGAGGTCTTGGCTTGCTGCCTTCAATCGGTGGCCAGCGGCTGTCTTATTCGATAAAACTCGCCTCTAAATCCCCTTGGATCACCACGATGCCATCTTTTGACAATCTTCTGGCAGATGGATGCCTAGGGGAATGCGATGTTGTATCTCCCATGGGGGCAAAATCGCTAAAGGAAACGCAAACGCGCGCGTTCCCAGCAAAAACTGAGGTTCTCCGGATCGATTGAATTCGTTTGCATGTTACAATGTTGGTCTTCTGTGTTGAACTGTGTTGGTGCTCTCAACATTTCTGATCCATGAGGCAGCAGGACACATGTCTCTCAGCCGAGAGGCCGCAAAGAAAGCTGTGCTGCAACCGATTGAGCGTTGGGGTTCTGGATGCGAATGGAGGTTGTGTGTATCCGGGCTAGATCATCTCCTCACATCTTGCACGAAATGTCTAGAACATGGACACATGAACTTGAGCTTGTTTGCTGGCAATGAAGGCTCATGGTTAACAATACTGATTTAGGGGAACAAGAAGCCATCAAATTCTTGGGAATGAGAATCATTTCCATTCCAGTTGCTTGGCTTTGCGGCTCGGCACTCCTTTTTGTCTTGGGGAAGAGAGGAGGAGAAAAAAAAAAGTGATCTGACCTGCATTGAACATACATGAGACCCAACACACGGCCAAGCATCTGATGTCCTTAGTGGCACGTTTGCGCCGCTTGCACATGAATGTTACTAGAAAGGCCAGTTGACATGCGGTGCTTAGATCTGGTCCGCCAAGTGACAAAGGAAGTAGGAGATGCTTGTAGTGAGGAGGAGCTCTGCCGTCGTCTCCCGTCATTGCCCCTGTGGCTGCCAGCTACCTCATATTTCTTGCGTTTGTTAGTTTTGTTTCATACAGCAACGCGTCATACCCGTCTAAGAGCTCACATGGCACGACTAAACTAAGACTCTTGAGACTTCAGACTTCTTCGCCAAGAGTGCCAACCTGCTAAGTCCAAAGAACATGCCCAGCACACTTTTTCCATCCACCGGCAAGTACGTGGCACTGGAGGTCCAGTTCTACACGCGGCCCTCATGCGATGATTTTTGCAGCGCTGTAGTTGCGCAACTGGTCCTGGTTGATGCGCTTGACCTAGCAGAATGCCATGCCACATGTTGAACTCACTTGACACCGAGCTTCTGCACCTACACAAATTTCCGGACCATCCAGTGAATCCTCTCTAAGTGTCTTCAAGGCAAATGTGTGCACATCTGTGTACAAATTTGTCGCACCCATTTGCCACACTATGCCTGTTCATCTCTAATCAGTATGTTATACATATACATATACATATACATATACATGTACATATACATATACACATATATAGATACATATAGTATATGATATGCATTGCATATATCTCATGCATCTATTTCTGAAGTGCAACCTAATGCCATCCCAAGACAGTTAGAAATATATAGATAGATGGATAGAGATAGATAGAGGTAGAGAGAGAGAGAGATAGATAGAGATAGAGATAGAGATAGAGATAGATAGAGATACTGTAGATAGAGATAGATAGAGATAGATAGAGATAGATAGAGATAGATAGAGATAGATAGAGATAGGTACAGATACATAGAGATAGATAGAGGAGATAGATAGAGATAGATAGAGATAGATAGAGATAGAGATACATAGAGATACATGACATAGAGATACATAGAGATACATAGAGATACATAGAGATACATAGAGATACATAGAGATACATAGAGATACATCGAGATACGTAGAGATACATAAGAGATACATAGAGATACATAGAGATACATAGAGAGAGATAGAGATAGACAGAGATAGGTAGAGGTAGGTAGATAGATAGATAGATCGATAGATAGGTAGATAGATAGATAGATATGTGACATAGTATGTGTATGCACACACGATACAAGATGAACCCTGTGGATTCATACACGCACAATGTCACAAGAGACAGACAGACCGTCGGACCGACCGACAAACAAACAGACTGACTGACTGACTCACAGCCAGCCAAGCAGGCAGGCAGGTAGACATATAGACCAATAGATCGAGACAAATCATCTGTAGAATCAAAAATCGACTCTCTCGCAGTCTCGCCTGTGTTTTGTACTTGAGGTCATGCACGCAGACTGCCAGTGCAATAAATGCCATCCACCTGCTTGAGATCATTTCTCCGCACAAGAACTCAACAACAGCAAGCAGCAAGGGCATCTGCATGAAGCAAAGTAGATGCAGTCTCAGTAGCTGGATGTAATTCATTGCGTTTCTATTTGCTATGTATATATATATATATACACGGCTACCTCTCTCTCTCTCTCTCTACGTATACATACATCTCTTCCTATCAGAATCCGTTATCCGCCATGCCACAGCATGGAGAAGGCCACAAAGGCACAGCGAGGCAAATCCGCCGCCGTGCGGTCAGTGATTCCTTGCGCCGGGGCTGACCCGATGATCACCACGTGTCGCATCCAGGAGCCCAGCAGCACCACTAAGCCTGGCGATGGCGAAACGTTGGATGCTTAGTGGAAGATTGAAACTGATTGCAATTGATTGCACTTCGGAAATGTCGGACCGGACCCGGACCCCGCCTGGAAGCTTTGAGTTTGGAATGGCCACCAGAAGCACCACACCCAGAATCGAGAGAATCTGAGTGATCAGCATTTCGGGATACCATCCCAGGTAGTATTGATCGGCGCCGAAGGGACCCAGGAACAGGCACAAGAACCAGGCAGTGAGTTGGCTTAGCCTCTTCGACTCGCATTCTGCTCCACCAAATCCAGGATTGCATCGGCAAAATGAGACACCTGTATCTCCAAATGGGAGGCAAGAGCCACGACCACTGCACACATCCGCAATCTTCAAGCGCGGGTTGTTGCAAGAATTGAAACGTGCATCTTTAGACTTCGGATCCAAGTAAGATTCCTTCATCCAGTAGTCAGTTTCCAAGCGCCAGTATGGAAGTTTGTGTGGATTGAACCACTTCCTTACTTTGTCCAGGTCGCCAAGGCTCGCATCAAGATGAAGGGGGACCGGAAGAGCACAGGTTGACATGTCTGACTCAATTTTTTTACATGATGCTCTGGGAAAAAACACATGTTTTCCAAAACATGCGAAAAGAATGCAACCTGGGCAACGTGGGAAACCTGGCCAACCTCCAACAGCCTCCTCTACCTTCTTGAAACTCCAAGGTGCTGAGGCAGCGAGATGGCAAAGTCATCCATCTTTGGCACATCAAGCATGCCTGTGGTAGAGGTGTCTGCCATGAAAACCATGACGCTGAACCCAAACACCAGGGGGTCCCAATCAAATTTCTACCGCATCATTCACCATACCAGAGCTGTCATTCCATGCCCATCACAGTCCAAGGTGCTTTCTTCGCAGCCCTGCAGGGTGCATGCCGCAATTGCCAGGGTGACTGCCACAGCCGGAACCGCGGCAAGTCTCTGCATTGTTTCCCAATTGGATTGAACGGCTCTGGCTTGAGCCGCACTGTGCACAGCAAAGTTGGAATTGGATGAATTGGGGATTCGCCCTTCCATGCCTGCACCCATGCCCACCCCGTGCCCTATCCGTCCTAATCCTGCAATCCATCCACTGCTGGGAAAAGAAACGGATTTCGGAATGTTTCAGAATTATATATACTTTTCGTCAAAAAAACTATACTCACACTGGCGCCAGAGCCCACGAAGGAAACACAGGACGCTCCAAGCTACAGAGAGGGCGTGCAACGAAAGCAGCAAAATGTGCAGCTTCACAACCATCTTCTCGCTGCACAGCGCATGCCATCAAACAACTATTGCTAATAAGGGAGGATCCACAAAACAAACAACCGTTCTCAATAAAACTCAAGGTTATCATGGCAAGTTCCTCTCAAGGACAGTTTCCTCCACCAGTCAGGGTTTTATAGGTTTCAGCATGTTGGGGTGAGGCCCACCTTGCTCTAAACAAGCCAAACTTGAGCATGGCCTAATCTCGTTTCAATGTTTCAGGTCCATAAGTGGACCTCGAGCCAATGATCACAAGAATGAGCCAATCCCAGAAACTGCAAAATTGACAAATCCATCGTTTCTGGCTGCAACGCGGCCTGATGTTTGCATGAGTTGAACCATGGTCCTGCCAACCTAACAACAAACAACACATACGGAACAAGATGCAGCCCACGAACCCGAATGCTCACACGTATGTTAACGGTACAGATGTCGGAACACATGGATATGCAGTCACACAGAATACTTTTCTGCGAACGTTTATTTGAACAGTCTTGTACATATTTCCCCTGTTACCAGTCTGCAGTGTGGAGTGGAAAGTGTAGAGCGTGGAGTGTGGAGTGGAAAGTGTAGAGTGTGGAGTGTGAAGTGTAAAGTAAGGAGTGTGGAGTGTCGAGTGTAAAGTGGGGAGTAGGGAGTGTAGAGTGTATAAAGTGTAGAGTGTAGAGTGTAAATGTAGAATATGGAGTGTAAAGTGTAAAGTGTAGAGTGTGGAGTGTGGAGTGTAGAGTGTGGAGTGTGGAGTGAGGATTGTAAAGTGTAGAGTGTAGAGTGTGGAGTGTGGAATGTAAAGTGTACAGTGTCGAGTGTGGAGTGTGGAGTGTGGTAAAGTGTGGAGTGTGGAGTGTGGAGTGAGGAGTGTAAAGTGTAGAGTGTAAAGTGTAGAGTGTGGAGTGTGGAGTGTAAAGTGTAGAGTGTGGAGTGCGAAGTGGAAGGTTTAAAGTGTGGAGTGCGGAGTGTGAAGTAAGGAGTGTGGAGTGTGGAATGTAAAGTGGAGTGAGGAGTGTAAAGTGTAAGTGTGGAGGGTGGAGGGCAAAGTGTAGAGTGCGGAGTGTGGAGTGGAAAGTGTGGAGTGTAGAATGTGGAGTGTGGAGTGTAAAGTGTGGAGTGAGGAGTGTGGAGTGTGTAAAGTGTAGATTGTGGAGTGTAGAGTGTAAAGTGTGGAGTGTGCAGTGTGGAGTGGAAAGTGTAGAGTGTGGAGTGTGGAGTGTAAAGTGAGGAGTGTGGAGTGTGTAAAGTGTAGAGTGTGGAGTGTGGAGTGTGAAGTGTAGAGTGTAAAGTGTAAAGTGTAGAGTGTGGAGTGTGGAGTGTAAAGTGTAGAGCGTGGAGTGTGGAGTGAGGAGTGTAAAGTGTAAAGTGTGGAGTGTAAAATGTCAAGTGTGGAGTGTAGAGTGTAAAGTGTCTCACTTTAGACTCCTCATTCCGCATTCTACACTTTACACTCCACACTTTACACTTTGCGTTTTACACTCCTCACTCTACACTTTACACTCCACACTCCACACTTTACACTCCACACTCTACGCTCAGAGTGTAAAGTGTAGAGTGTGGAGTGTGGAGCTTCCCCATAGGCACGGCAACGCCACAGGAAAACCAGAGACTCGAGACGAGACACATGGGCGCAGAAAAACGAACATTTCGTGCGAGACTTCCTCCAATTTGACACTTTCGACGCGTTATCAAACAGGTTGGAATGTCACAAATTGCCGCGCCTGCCACGCAAAACGACATGACAACCTGCTTGGAAACCTTCGAGAAGGAGATGTTTTGCAGCTTCCCCCATAGACACGGCGAGGCCACAGGAAAAACCAGACACTCGAGACGAGACACATGGGCGCAGCAAAACGAGCATTTTGCGCGAGACTTCCTCCAATTTTGACACTTTCGACGCCTCAAAATCGGCGTTTTCCGACGAGTTTTCTTTTTTTTCCCCTCAAAATCGATGTTTCGTGCGAGGCTTCTGTCAATTTTCATCACATTTCACAAAATGCCACGCCTGCCACGGAATCTGCACCCTGTCGCCACTTGACGCAGCCCTGCCAATGCGATATGAACAAGACACGTCTAAAGTGCTTGCGCCTGCCACGCCAAATGACGATGGACACGTCCAAAGTGCTGCGCCTGCCACGAACACTGCCACGCATCTTCTGAAAACGTCGCAAAAGTATTGCGCCTGCCACACAGAACGACTTTCGACACGTTACAAAAAACGTCTGAATGTCGCGGGGTGCCACGCCTGCCACGCGAAACAAGGCAACGCGACGTTTGAAACCTCCAAAAAGGACCCCTTCTGCAAAACTTACCATAGGCACGGCCATACCGGGATCGCGCGAGCGGTTGCGGACGGTTGCGAATGTAAACGCAACGTCGAGCGAACACACCCTCAACCCCCAGACCCCCAGAGTGAAACGGGAACCCTTGCTACGCATTCGGGAAAAAAAATTGGGTTGATTACTCTATGCACATCACAGGCTTGGGTTCAGGATGGTCCAGGTCATACCCATAAAACTTGCATTCTTCTGGCTTCCCAGGCTCCCCCTGTGACACCCAAAGCTGCAAAGTTCCTGCAAACACAGCCTCCAGCCACCTGCTGTGATGGAGTAATCCTCGCACAATCTGCAGAGATGAACCACGGGTTGAAACAGCATCACATAATTTTTCAGCAACTCCATCATTGGGAAGGAAAGGGAGGGACTTCCAAACAAGTCCTTGAAAGGATCACCAGGTTTTGCCAAAAAAACGCGTAACTGGTAAGGTGGAAACGTATGGACACAGACACATATATTTTCCAAATCTTTATAGATGAACAAAGATGAACATGTATATATGTGCTCAATTGTCTTCATACTTTATAAAGCATGCATGTATCATGTATCCGCGTTTTTTTCTGCATATCCGTACCGTAGTCGTGTTTATTTCCATGCCTGTTCGAAAATGCTGGCCTGGCACACTGCTTGCCAATGCGAATCAAACTCAGCACGGTTCACTCCTTGATCTCCTCAAGAAAATGCAATCTAATTTCAAGCAAGTTGCTGAACTCCAAGTAATTGTTCCAGATGGCACCACATCGTTTGGGCCCGCAGTGCCACTGTACTGTCGACCATTCACTTCTAAAATGTCGTAACCAGTTTCAGTGTCAAAGGCCTTCACGTTGATGGATTTGGAATTGCCATCAGCCACAGTGACTTCACAGTTCTGGCTATTTCTGTAGCTTGAAGGATAGCGGGGACTCTGCAAGCATCCATCGCTGTCAACTCGGCAAGCCCTTAGTTGCTGCCACGGATCTGACAATCTCTCCCCTCATTGTGGAGCAAAATGACATATGCCAAAGGGGTTTCACCTTTGTAGAAGAGTTCTCCGGGCACAGGTTCACTTTTTGTGTTCAATCATGTGGTTGTTTATGGCAATCCCAAAACATAATTAATAATGGCATATGATTGGGGCATATCCCGCATTGGTATGATGCCAAGCCACCCTGAAGCCACTGTCCAATCAGCAAAACAAAGTTCCAACCCTGCCAAAAGCAACCATAGGCGCGGCATTGCCGAATCGTGGTGCAATCTATCTATTCAAAATGCCGCCCTTGTATTTGAATTTGGTTTATATAAGATCCTCTGCTCCAACTCGAGATGCGCCACGTACCAAGTGAATACCACTCATGAAGACTTATGAAATGAACGGTCACTCGAACCATGACAAAAGTTATAATGTCCCCAGTGAGACTATGACTAAAAAACATCCGCAAACATGAACCTGTCAGAAATCAAGGTCGTCAATTCAGCTACCTGTTCAAATGGTTGCGGGTGAACCACACACATACAAACACATCACCGGGACTCTGCTCAGCACATCCCTGAAAACAACCTGGTTTCCGCTGGAAATTCAATGGCTCATGACAATTTGATTTCCAAGCACTTGTTGCCAACAAGTTCGAACAAGCATTGCGGAACACAACCTACTTTGGCAATTGAACACGGGTTGAAAGGGTATTAATTAATTACCAGTAGTACCGCACAAGGCGGTGGCGGAAGTTTCAAAAATAGGAAACCTATAGGAGAGGTTGGTTGTTTTGCATCAAGGATGGCAGAGCGAAGCCACTGATGGACTGAAAGGTAGGTTGAAAGGTGCTTGAGGTCTCCTTTTTTTTCCTCTCTCTCTCTCTCTCTCTCTCTCTCTCTCTCTTTCTCTCTCGTTCTCTCTCTCTCTCTCTCTCTTTTTCTTTCTGTTTCTCTATCTTTCTCTGACTATCTACCTACCTACCTACCGACCGACCGACCGAGCTCCTACCTACCTACCTGCCTACCTACCTACTGATTTTTTTTCTCCACTCCTTTTTACCGCGCGAGGTCTCTCTCTGCAGGACTGTTTTTATACTGGCCAGTCTCCAGATGTGCTGGCTGGGCTGACTGTTTTTATACTGGCCAGTCTCCAGATGTGCAAAATCCACATGGCATTAAGTGCGGGGGTGGGGGGGGAGCACGCTGGTGGGAGGGTGGCTGTGGGGGTGAAGGGTGAGGATGTCGCCGAGGAAAGGCTCGGGTCCATCGATGTTGTTGGTTGTGGAGGCTGGCAAATGGCTGCTGCAGACACGTGGGCCGCCCACCTTGAAATCCAAGCGTGGCGGGCAGCTTGTCGGAGCAGGACTGGGAGTGATTGGGTCTTGTTGCGTGCCATCAATCGGAGGAGGGTTGCTGCTTCTTCGCTCCACCTGCCCGCAGTTTCTAAGGCCACCACGACGAGGCGGGCACGCCCTCCTCCCACGATTTCTGGGT